ATGTTTCAAGCTAGTAATGTTTTGCAAAATATTATCCACTGTGAGAAGCCCTGAACGCCTGTTGTTCCATTATTACCAGCCACTGGAGTATAACATGTAACTATCACCTATGAATTCCTACTTTCTTATACACCTACAACAATCTAGCTGACATCAGTTCATACTTTCAGACATAGATTCTAGCTTTTTAATATATCATTAAATCTATCCCTTGACTTCACTGCATATATTCATCAGTTCCATTCCATAGGATCAGACCACCTGCATTCAGATTTTTTACATCCTTTTCTTTCTCTTAATTTTCTTTCTTTCATTACATTCATTAATTCATTCCATTCATTAATTTACCATTTACTGCTTGTATGTTCCAAATCACAATCTTCCATATGGTGTGGAATATATATGAAAGCCAGTAGAGTGTAGTGGCTAAGGTTTAGACTGGCATTGAGTAGACTTGGGTCCTACTCTTAGCCATGGAAGCTCATTGGGTGGCACTGGGCTAGTCACTCTCTTTTACCTCAACCTACCTCAGAGTTATTGTTGGGGGAAAATAGGAGGAGGGATTACCATCTCTGCTTCCTTGAGCTTCAGTACAAAGGTAGCATATAAATCCGTCAAAAAAACAAATGTTATTTTCACCAGATGGACCTATAGATACTGACTTCTGCCTCCCATTGTGGCTTTGGTCAATCAAGACTTGCACTGAATGCTTTTTAATAAGATAGAAAAAGTGTAAGGTAGGTTACCAATTTCAGTCTTACCTGGTTAGTTGTGGCACATTTTGGCTTGTATACCACAGTTATAGCCAAAGGGCAGTTTTACCTAAATATGTTCACACTATTCTGTGCAAACTAGCATGTCTAATTTAGAGACTTCTTGCAAGCAAAATTACTGTTGTCCACATCCCACCAATTAGCAGATACATGTGGTATGTTGACACATTCAGAATGCCCAAGGATACCTGCCTCTCAGAATTACTATAGTATGCAAAGGAAAGCTTAAGAGTTTGTTTGTGTATCTTGTCAGCCTGCAGAGCCCCATTCTTAATTCTCTATTTTATCATCCTTGGCTACTTAAGGATGTATTCTCAATTCTGATGTTTTAAAGTAAAGATAGTGATGTAACAATTGACTTAGCTTCAAGATGAAAAATGTAGACATGCTTATTAGTCATAATACAATGTCACTACTACAAGGCAGACTAGACTAGGAAATCAGTGCCATATAGATCAGCACTGCTTTTATTGTAGCAGCTATAGTAACCGAATCTTGCAAATTTGAATGTGCTTCCCCCTCCCTCCTTTTATCTTCCTGTGAACTAAGGAGTGGCTTGTCTGAGACATTTTCTCAAGACACTTTCTTGGCCCAGGCTCAGGCCCCTCTTATCTGATCATTGCCTTGGTAATGGTTCTACCTCCTGTCCTTCAAGGCCATTCCCTCTGTCCTGTACATACATTTTAGTCCTAGCTCCTAAAATCTTGTGTGCTTAGACCAGAACTGTAGTAATAAAGACTATAAAACAGGAGAAAAATCACATAGTACTGTTAGTCTAGGTTTCTAGCTGAAGTCTGTTGCAGCCCCTCAATTCTTCCCTGCTAAAGCAAAAGTGTTAACCATACATTTCTAGAATATTTTATTCCCAAGAGGGTTTCTCTTTTTCCCACCCATCATCATCCACTGGAATCAATCACTAAGGAAGGAGGAAAATCACTGAAGAATAGTGCCTCCCGCTTCCAAGCTTTACATATACAAGCTTTATGATAGTTGATAATATCAAAGGCTGCCAAGAGGTCCATCAGGACCAGGACAGTTGCACTCCATCTATCCCAATCCTACCAAAGGTCAACAAAAGTGCTGGTTTGCTCTCACATGCAGCCCTAAATCTTGACTGAAAAGGTCCCAATAATCTGTTTCACCCAGAGTTCTCTGTTACTACAGTCCAACCACCTTGACAACACCACCTCAACAGTAGGGAAGCTAAAGAATAGTTATCTAAAATAGTGGGTTAAGTAATAGTTTGTGCCATGATGACAACCTGAGCAATGAATAATACCTTACTTTAGAAATTGTTTTTGTTTTCTGTTGGTACAAACCACTTTCTGATTTCTTGGCTTGATAGTAGTAGCCATGTTGTAGCCTAGAGACTGGCAGTTGCCAAGGAGAATGAATATTTTTAGGGCTTGTCTATGCTGACTTACCAGTTGCTTTTCACATCACCAGATGCTTGTTCTGTGCAAACAGCCAAATGTGATTTAGAATCCATTATGTTTCTTCAAGGAAAATAATGCCAAGAGGCAAACTTGTTCCCATTTGTCTGTAACTGAATTACTAACAGTGCCTTTTTTGTATATATAGAACAGCCATTTTTGAAGCTGTGACTGAAATATATGTGTGATGTGGAGAAATCTATGATGGCTAGTTTTGCTGTTGATCTGCATTCATTAGACTGAAGCATACTTCCCCCCCCCCAGATTAATAGATTAAAGCACTTTCAGGTCAACTTCTTCTATAGTCTGCATGATGCTCTTTAACCGCTACAGGTAGTCCTTGCTTACTGACTGCCCTGTTTAATGACCATTTGAAGTTACAAAGGTACTGAAAAAGTACAGGTAATCCTCGCTTTCCAACCACAATTGGGACCAGAATTTAGGTTGCTAAGTGATGCAGTTGTTAAGTGAATTATCATGTGACCTCTTCGCTTAGCGACCACAGTCCCAGCACTCCCAGCTGCCATTGTTAAGTGAGAATCATGGGTCATTAAGTGGAGTCCCAGGTAAGGAGTATGGGGATGCTTCAGGGGGGTTGGGGAGGTCCTGGGAAGCCCGGTACAAGCCACATGTGAGTTGGGGAAGCCCTGGGAGGCCCAGCACAGGCCATGTGCGGTGCAAAGTGCAGCAACCCCTGGGAGCCTCAGCAGCACTTACAACTGCAGGGGTACTGCAACACCCCCTACCCACCTGTCCCCCCCCACCCCATCTATGCCCTTTTGGCTGCCCTGCACAGAGGCACTTATTGGCAGCAGCACCAGGGCTGGGGCTGAAGTAGAGGCCCAAGGCCTTCAAGAGTCTCAGCTGGCTGCCGCCGCCCCTAGACCTGCAAAGTGCTGCAATGGCTGTATCTTCAGGCATGGGTTGTACGTCCATTTTTTCAGTGCTGTCGTAATTTTTGTCACTGAACGAGTGGTCATTAAGCTGTAAACGTATGACTTGTCCTCATACTTATGGCCATCGTAGCATCCCCACAGTCACGTAATCGACATTTGGGTGCTTCACAACCAGTGGGCATTTACAACTGTCGCAGTGTCCTCTGGTCACATGATTGCCATTTGCTCACTTCACAGCCAGCTTCCGACAAGCAGAGACGGTAGAAAAGCCAGTAGAATAAACACAAGTTACAGTCACGTGATAATTGCAGCAGAAGTGATGTTGTAAGTCCAACGTGGTTAGGTGATTTTCCTCTTAACAACTGTGCCACTTAGTGAAGGAGTTTCTGGTCCCAGTTGTGGTCATTAAGCGAGGAATACCTGTACTGTTTATTTCAGGTTTTGGGTAACATAGATGCAATTGATTATCTGTATTTATCTGACTGGATATATATTTGTGTGTGTGTTTTGCCATGCTTCCTTGATAAGTGCTCTTCACTTTTACAACCTTAGTTTATAAGCAAGATTAACAGCATATTAATGTGGCTATGAGTAACAACCAGCGGGCATTTACAACTATTCTTCATGGAATAGTTCATACAACTTCATGGAATAGTGGTTTCATGAAAGCCTGTTACTTGTAAAACGTACAAATGGATTTTGAGTTTGATATATAGGTAGTCCTTGACTTATGACCATTTGTTTAGTGACTGTTCGAAGTTACGATGGCGCTGAAAAAAGTGACTTACGACAGGTCCTTGCACTTACAACTGTCACAGTCTCTTGGCAGTCACATGATCAAAATTCGGGTGCTTGGCAACCAGCATGCATTTATGATGGTTGCAGTGTCCCGGGGTCATGTGATCACCATTTGTGACCTTCCCAGCCGGCTTCCGGCAAGCAAAATCAATGGGGAACCATGTGATTCACTTAACGGCTATGTGATTCACTTAACGACTGTGGCAAAAAGTCATAAAATCAAGTCTGGTCACATGACGCCTCATTTAATGACCACACTGCTTAATGACAAATTTTCCTGTCCCTATTGTAGTTGTAAGTCGAAGACTACCTGTAAGTGCTAGTTAAAGGAAGTATCGTGCTTATGGATATGTAAGCACCGCTTAATTTTTAACCAAATTCACATTTCAGTCACTTTTTTACAGAAGACTTTGTTTAAAGTTAGCTTTGGTTCCCTGCTGATTAGGTTTCTTTCCTGTCTAGCTAATCTCCAGTAAAAATGAATAAACAATCCTAGAGTGTTTTTTCCCCCACTCTGGGTTGTCACTTACTTATACAGTAATGTATAACTTACAATCTGTTGTTATCAGGATGTAGCTGCAATTTTCACAGGATCTGCATTGCATACCTGGTTCAATGCTATCTGGGTTTGGGAAGAGGCAGTGGGGTCTGGAAATGTTAGGGCAAATATTCAAGGAGGCAGCAAACTTGCAAGTCTGAAGGAGCTTGAAAATACAGTAGTTCGTGGAGTTGGGGAAAATGACAGAGAGTAGTTGAGCTCCTCTTGCCTAATCTTAAGCAAGCTACACGCAATTAAGTAAGCCTTGTGTCTTTCCATGATCAGTCTCCAAGTAACCTAAGTAAGATTTCTAAGTTGTATGACAGTTCAGTACTACTGAAGGACAAGATTGCTCGTCTTCAGCAAGCTTTGTATTTCATGTACTGTATTTTAAGATCACACTCTGGGATTCATTCCAGGTTGAAATTTGGAAAGAAAGTTGCAAGTGCCTTGCAGTTGTGATCTGGGTTAATACCATAAGCTAATCAATATAAAAGCAATGGCATGTAGCATTTGTGTTTTGGTTTAAGTGTTTATGGCTTTTATTTTAATTACTCATTAGGTGATAAAGCCCTTGATGGTTACAGTAAGAAAAAGTACGTCTGCAAGCTGCTTTTCATTTTTCTCTTGGGGCATGATATTGATTTCGGCCACATGGAGGCTGTGAATCTCCTGAGTTCAAACAAATATACAGAGAAACAAATTGTAAGTAATGTCTCATCCCTACATAATAGAACTGTAGTTGTCTTGTTTACCTGCTGAGCTTCAACTGGGAGACAGTATTTTCCAATCTGGCACACTCAGACTTTTAAAATTTTACTTTATTTTTAGGGCTGCAACTCCAGAATTCCCAACCAGTTTGGCATCCAACTTTCATTTGGTTGGGAAATTCTGGGAGTTGTTGTCCAGTATATCTGAAATGGTCCACGATGCAGCATGTTATATTAATAGATTCTTGTCTTACCAAATGTTGTTCATATGAGAGTTTCCATGACCACATTGGGGGGAAAAAAAGACTTGCAAAGGTGAAGAAAATGAGAAATCTGGAAGATAGGCTAATGTTGAATGGGTGGCTAATGAAGCAGCAAGTAAGAGAACATTTATGAGCAATCTGTATTAAGTCAATTTTCTATGCATTAGATCAAGTGCTGCTGTAAGAAGGTTTAGAAGTACTGGACTGACAGGTATATTGGTCAGGGAGCTACTTAATAAGTAGCTGTCAACACGGTAAGACTAGATGCATTTCAGAATATAAAGGCATATGCTTGTCTGCAGTAGTAATTTGACTGCTGACTTAACAGTTTAGGTTCATAAACTGATTAATTTAATGAAAGCTTTCTTCTGAGAATCTGTTTATTATGAATTTTTAACAAAAATCAGTTTTTTTAAAAAATAATAAATCTGTATATAAACACTGTTTCTTATTACATGCAAATGTCTTAGAAAAATGAGCATACACACAATGATCTGTTGTACACATATGTATTCTTTTCATATTAGAGCTCTGTAGAGTCATTATTGGCTCAGCACATTGAGTCATCCTGCAGTCTAAAATTTGTACTGAAGCGTACAATTTTCTTTTTTTCTAATAAAGTTCATAATCCCTCAGGCATAATCTGCAGGGGGCCACATGCTTGGTAGGGATGAAGCAGAGTGGATGAGGCCAGAACTAAAGGTTATTTGGATTTCAAGTTTATTATTATGGTCAAAGACTCAAAGTATACAAACAAAAAATTGGCAAAATTGCTAAAACTGTCAGACGCATATTAATTAATTCAGTTCAAGCAGTCACCTCAGTACGGATTCCTCAAGCAATGTAACCGTATTTAGAAATATTTAATGCAATTACATCATCCTTATCTGGCAGTAGATATTGGAGAGAGAATAAAACTGAATGCCCTGGAAACTTAGCTATTAACAGATTGTACCAAAAGTTAGGCCCTATAGACAATTTATTTATAAATGGCATTAAAAGTTTGAATTGGTTGCCATTCTCTTCTAAAGATTTCCTTATTCATTTGACACATAAACTTTGCACATTCCTAAGTACAAACATTTTCTCTGGGGAAAAAAAAAAGTAATAAAATCAAGGAAACATATTGTGATTGACCTATGTGGGCCTGACTTTTGGTACACTCTGTATATATATTTTATAAGGTCTTCTATCCTGAATGGACAAATACAATCTTCCAATGGGAATTTCCCATATCTCCCTTCATATACAGCTGTTAGCAGCACATTAAAGTGTACTAATGACACACTGTAGCTGTCCTGTATTTTGAAATTTCAGTTTCAAATATCTAGCTGTTTTGGAGCTATGAGGTAGAGGCACTTATTCTCTGACACCAATTTTTCTCTCTTTATACCTTTTTTCTCCTTCCAAGCAACTGGTTTTGGGTAAGGGACAGATAAGCATTTATCAAAGATCTGAACTGATACCACACTGGAATTCTGAAGTTGCACCAAGACTCACCTATGACTGTGGGGTTATAGGTTGTTCAAATTAGATCTGTACAGCTGTTGCAGAAAACCCTAGAGTGATATGGCATGTTGGTGGTCTTCCAGTCAGCTTCTATTACACTGTCCTAATTCCAAGCACTCATTAATGAAGTTATAATTGGTTGCTAGCATACTTAGTAGGCTTTCTCATTAGCTGCTAAGAGTGGAGTACTCAGCGGGTGAAATGTAACACAACTGAGAACTCAAAAATAGATAGAGGCAGAGAGCTTAGATCTAGCTTGATTTCTTAGAAAAGTATGTCCTTGGCATTGAAACAGAAAAGGCATATTTAAATTGTGCTGCATCTATAATATACCAGGGAGCAAATAATTATAGACCAGTTTTGTACATACAAAATGCTTGCTACATAGTTGCTGGAACATGTAATAATTTTGTTGAGAGAAATGCATGTGTAGGTCCCACCTTCTTTTAAATTGAAGCCTGAACATCTGGTAAACATTGTTCACTTCAGTCCCTCTGTGGTATGAATTTTTAAAGTTAAAAGTAGTTCATGGCAGTTTGAGTCACCCTCTGGGAGAGATGGGTGGCATACAAATTTAAATAAATAAATACATAAGTAAGTAAGTAAGTTAAATGAAGGATACCAATGCTGGCCATTACCTCAGTACTTGACCAGTTTCTTCACATTTTTCCTGCCTGAGATTAAACAAAATTCCCAAAGCAAGCCCACTTCTTTTTAAAAGAAAAATAGTAGATTGGCCAAACCTTGAATTTTGTTTGTATTTGGTATATTTTTATCACAGTAGTTTATATGACTTTCCCAGTAACATTTTATCACTCTGTTCCTTGCATGAAAGGGTATTGTGATCAAGAGTATGTCCCTCAAATTGTATGTTAAGGCTACTGTGCAAAGGTTTATATGCTTAATTATGTGCATACATACATGAGATCCTTTTCTCCTAATGACCGTCTGAAGGTGCTTTTCAAGATGCTTCTGAAAAGCTGTTCTGTGTTGAGTGATCTTTTTGAGGAATCTCAGGGAGCAAATTGACAATAATCCAGCAGTTCTTGTTATACAGCTGTTTGCCAGCATCACTCTTTAAAAGAATCAAAACTGTATTAAATCATTGTAGTTCAGTATGCCTAGCTGTCTAGTTCATTGGAAATTTGCATTGATTTGTAACTACAGTGAAAAATTGCTTCAGTGTAACACATCTTGCTTCAGGCCAGAACTTAAAAAATGATTCTTGAGCAATCTGTATAATCTACATGCAAGAACCATTTTGCAAAAAAACAAAACAAAAAACAGCGTGTTAAACTTTCCCCAGTTGACCCACCACTAATTATTCTCTTAATTCCAGGGTTATTTATTTATCTCCGTACTTGTGAATTCAAACAGTGAGTTGATACGCCTGATAAACAATGCAATCAAGAATGATTTAGCCAGCCGGAACCCCACTTTCATGGGACTAGCTTTGCACTGCATTGCCAATGTGGGTAGCAGAGAGATGGCCGAAGCATTTGCTGGAGAAATTCCAAAAATACTGGTAGCTGGGTAAGTAATATACAAACGTTTAATATTGGGTAGGCAATTGAGTTTATTCTGCTAGCTGTAACCAAGTGTTGTATTGTATTTAAACGCTCTTTCTCCTCCCATTGGTGGTGCTCATGCTTGGAAGTCAACCTCTTTGTTGTCGACATTGGAAAGAAAGAAGATCTTTTTGCTCCTAAAAGGGGTATTTTTGAGCCTGCATGTTTGGTTTATTATAAATAAGGGCTTCTTCCAGTGGTTGAGGGTGTTGATTAAGTTTTTATGTTTGTTGCGCTTACATTTTTTTAAAAAATTGCTTTAGTATTGGCTTTATTAGATTGCTAAGATCTCTAACTGTGATCAATATGAACTTGCTTAAGTGCTGGTTTAAATGTAGCTCTAGATTTATATGAATGTCCATTTGTATTTCTGTGTTGTTTTGCAGAAGTTCATATGACACAAAAATCTCTTGTGTACTCGCATGTTATGATAAACATATATTATCTTTATGACAGTACGAGGCAGCCTTTTAAAGGAAATCTACAGGTGAAACTCGAAAAATTAGAATATCGTGCAAATGTTCATTTATGTCATTAAGGCAACTCAAAAGGTGAA